TTGAACCCTCGCCACGCCATCAACATCTCACTGTGCTCCCTGAGGAATCGGCGAGGAACGTAATGATCCACGCAGATGAGAGCTGGAGTTCACACTTACCTAATGGTTCCTGTATCCCTGATGATGCTCGTTGAAATTTTGTTAGGATGAGTCGCTTGACGTCAAAACTGATATTTTTTGGAGGATCCGTTGAATGCGGAGACGTCTGTCAAAAAAGTGCCTCCTTTTCAAGGAATGGAGCTCTTCCATGTGTCAGAAAGTTGCACTTTAAGCACAGATTCCTGTTTAAAATCTCACGAAAAACACGATGGTGCCACTGGTTTTCTCTGAAATCAACCAGATCCAGCATCAGGATTTTCCCGATTTTCCCGATTCTATCAGGATTTGAGGTGAATCAGGATTTAATCTCGATTTCATCAGGATTGGAGGAAAAATCGGTCGTAAAATCAGGATTTGAGAGAAGTCGGGCGTCCGAAATTCTAGAGTTCTGTTTTCGCATAAGTGCAGAAATTTTAATTTTTCTCCGAAAAAAATCAGAATTTGATCAGGATTTGGAAAAATTATGAAATCAGGATTTAGCAGTCAAAAATCAGGAAAAATTAATATTTCCCATAATGAAAAAAGAAACAAAACACACTGCCAACTCCAATTAAAGCTCAAAAAAAGCTCTCAAAGTTGAGGGTGTTTCGTTCTTGTTAATTATAACTTGATGGCGCTACAGGTTCCAGGAGATTCTCCATTTCCGATTATGTTGATTTGATGGATCATCTCAAAACAGAAAATCCAGACGATACTGTGCCTTCTGTCAGCACGACATTATGGTCGCAGGTGAATGTAAAACTTGGCCACGTCTTGACAATAATATTATTTATTTGAGTCATGACATGACTAAAACTTCAGGTGAATGAAGAACTAGGTAGACAAGAGGAAGCGACAAGACTGCAGAGGTTTGAACAGTCTGAGACTTTGAATTGAGTCGCATACCCATCGCGCATCGCTGCTTTAGCTCGTTAGCTGCACAATCGGACAGGGACTTAAATCGGGGCTGGTGAAATGAATGGATCTCGCTTTTCTCCATTGTTGTCTTTTCGCGAGAGTGGAGTAAATGATAGCAAAGCATTTCTCTATTTCAACCTGTGCATGGATTTCTATCGCAGGTTAATATATGTCCAAAGTGCGAAACCATGTATCTCCGTTTGTGACGTTGTAGACCTCTTGTCTTCCTTTACTCTTTTTTTTTGAAAACTGATCAACGTAACTTCTTGAAAGTCGCCATGATTTTTCCTCTCTGTTCGCGGAATATTCTGCATAATTTTATTTTTCAAACTATATTGTTGGTTTGCTCCTCTTCGAAAAACTAAAATAGGAGCCGAAATTTGATGATGGGTCGCGCAATAGACATAAATGGTTTTGCACTTTGGTCATCGGTTTGTCTCCAGGCTGATTACTGAAATTTATAGAAAAAGCTGTAGACAGAAAGACATAGCGAGTATTGAGCGATTCTACTGGTTAGAATGGGTGGTTCCTGAAGACTAAGGGAGAAAATGATGGACTTCCTATGGGGTCTCTCGTGGGTCGCCGTTAGTTAGTCTACTACCCACCTCATTTGTGCATTGCTACCTCCCGCTTTCACCAATAGGATCCCTCCATACTCCTTTTGTTATCTTTGTCTATAGCTGTGTCTAGAGTACCCATATAGGGCAAAATATGTAGCTCTTAGGGCCCAAAAGGGTAGGTAACCTTTGAAAACAAAAAATCTCACTGCCAATCTTTAGACTCCAATTTAAAACGAAAATGGACAAGAAAATTCATAAGTAAGCATTCTTCCGCAAAAATGAGTAAGTTGATGCAAAAACCAAGTCAAATACGTGCTTTACCAACGACAGTTCCAAACAATTCTGATTATAAATCACTCTGGATAATTTGAATTCATAGATTGCCTACCTTTTTGGAGTCTAAGAGCTCCATCATCTAACCTCAACATTTTCGACATGTCCATACTCTCCCTATATAGGTACTCTACCTACAGGGTCTCTCGTGGGTTGCCGTTAGTTAGTCCCTTACCCACCTCATATGTCCATTGCTACCACCCGCTCTCACCAATAGGATCCCTCCACACCCCTTTTGTTATCTTTGTCTATAGCTTTGTCTATCAATTGCAATAATCGGTCCGCTGTGGGAAATAGTCGAATGGAGGTGTTGCATGTGTGAGGAATTTGCGATTTCACTAATGGTTCTGGTGTAAAATTTCGCGAGTAACACAATGGTGCCACTGGTTTTCTCTGAAATCAACTCCCAAGCGCAAAAAAAGCTCTCAAAGTGAGGCCAAAATGGAGGGGATATCCCGCCCTACCCCACCTCTACATCAAAACAAACTCTCCATGCAAAGATAGGGAGCAAATACATTAGCAGTGATGTCGTGTTTTCAGTTTTGGAGTCCCCAAATAAAGTGGAAGCCCTGTCAATGTATTTGCTCCCTATCTTTGCATGGAGAGTTTGTTTTGATGTAGAGGTGGACTCTCAGGGTAGGGTGGGATGTCCCCTCCATTTTGGCCTCACTTTGAGAGCTTGAGAGATGATTACAGAGATAACCAGTGGCACCATCGTGTTTTTCGCGAACTTTTACGTAAGAAACAACAGTCAAATCGCAAATACCTCACACATGCAACATCTCCATTAATCCGGGTTACGGGTGAGACTGGCATCGCGGGTTGGAAGCGGAGCGTGGTCGCGTGCGGTTTGGGGGGACCACACCTATGAAGCGCGAAATCTGTTACGGGTGACGTGTGCTAACTGCTAACGAGACAAGGAGCGACCGGTGACCGACCGGCCGGGGCAGCCGAGCAGAGCACACAACTCTCGAGACGGGACAGGCGGAAGCGAATTTTGCAACTCTGCACCACCCAGATGCGCTTCCGTTGGACTCATCAACGCCGCTCAAGGTGCATGTTCCTCGTGTCAATTGTGCATCTGAGCATGAGTCCAGGAGTCGTCCTCCAACTTTTGACTCGCCGCGACCGCTCCGTTGCTCTCATATTGTTCGCCCGAGGAGTGCGCTTTCTTGCCCGCGTCACACCTCGCCAAGTGGGTTGCGGCTCATGGTAGACCTTACGTGCTGCCAGGACTCGTTTCAAGGTCGGAGGATTCAATAGGGCGCTCGAGAATTTACCTGACACTATCAGGTCATAATGGGTCTGCAGGCCGATTTTTGAAATTGATAGACAAAGCTATAGACAAGAGAGATATGGAGGGATCCAGGATCCTATTAGTGGAAGCGGGTGGTTGCAATGGACAGACGAGGTAGGTAATAGACTAACTGGATTGCATTTTTCAAGAAGGAACCAAGAGCATTCCAGTGTTGCTAGGATTGTGCAACTTATATTCCTTGCGATACAATGTTGAAATCTTGCAACAAATTAAATTTACTTTGGTAATTTTCGTATTAAAAGAGTTTATTGGGGGTAAAGATAAAATATATTTAGATGATCAGTTTATATTTGCAAGGTAAAAACAGTTGCACAATCTTAGTGACATTGGAATGCTAGTGGTTCCTTTTTGCAAAATGCAATCCAACTATCAGCAGACCCGATAGTTAGTCCATCATTTTCTCCTTTAGACTATAGGAATCACCCATTTCAACCAATAGGGTCGCTCCATACTCCCTATGTCTTCTTTGTCTATCGCTTTGTCTAACAATTTCAATAATCAGTTGGAAGATGTGTTAGTCTGAGAATCGTGTTTTAATGCTTGATTTCTGATGTGCGTGTTGCATGTTCAAAATTGAAGGCGTCTCCGTATTTCACAGACTAGACTGAGTTGACTGAAGCGCCTTGATGCAACTATTCGTGTTCGAGGGATGTGCGTGTTGCATACTCAAAATGTGGAGGCGTTTCCGCATCTCACAGAGTAGACTGAGTTGATTGTAGCGCCTTGATGCAACTATTCGTGTTCCAGGTATGTGCGTGTTGCATGTTCAAAATTGAAGGAGTTTCCGCTTTATTGCATTTGTTGTCATCAGGCGTGTCACTGTTTCTTTCACTGAATATTTATTTTTTTCTTATTTCAGAAAATTCAAATTCGGGACACCAAAGGAGAAGGCGGAGTCCTCACCTGAAGCCCAAAGATCGGGAGACCCCGCCCGAAATCAGCTCTTCCACGTCGGGGACGGAGGACCAGAGTTCCAACTCACCGGGCCCGGGGCCCAACCCCTTGCTCCAAGAACGATGTAATTGTGAGGAGCTTAAACATGTTACCTGTCACCTGGAGGGTGTAGACTTATGGGATAAGTTTAATAAATTAGGAACCGAAATGATCATCACGAAAACCGGCAGGTAAGTGTCTTCTTCTATCGTTCATAATACAATATCCCTCGTGGAGGTGAATCAGCCTGACGTTAGGCAGAACGTTTGTGTGGATTCCTTTGAAAATTTTAAGGAATCCGCTTCGTACCATGCGGAAAAGTCACTGAAATTCGCACAAAAATCCGTATAACCGTTACGTTACGTCACGTAAAAATTGAGTTGCCCCCTTACATTTGGTAATAGGTGGTATGTTTTGATTCCCCTCTGCTTAACGCAGTCCAACTCTCATTTTATCAAGTGATCAAAAAGATACTCAGTACTTGAGTGTGTTAAAAAAGTAACTCGTCAATCACCGCGACGTACCCACTACAGAGTTAAAAATTCTATGAAATTTTTAGAGAAGGAGAGTATCTTTTTCTTATCTACTACGTAGTACTCTATACTTTCTCGTACATAAGCAGGCCCGCCACAAGGGGGGGGGGGATACTGGGTCCTCGGTACCGGGGCCCGGGCCCTGGAGGGGCCCGTGACGCAGGTGACAATCCCCTTCAAATTCATGTGTAATCCATGTCTCGTAAGGAAAAGTGAAAAAATGGCCCTAAAAATTCCGCAAAAGATGAATGAAGTTTCAAATACACGCTAGGGCAATATAAAATTTGTCTTACTTTTTAGAGATTCTATCTATTTTCAAGATTTTGAGTATATGTAGAATGATATTTTGAGTAACTGCGTTTCATTTTCTTCTGTTGTCGGATGCTAAGAGGCCCCTGTCCGGGCATTCTCGACTTCAATGGCTCAACTCCCTGGCCATAGACGTACAAAAGGGGAGTCCAGGGGGCCCGGCTCTCCCTAGAATTGAAAAGTATCATCTGCCCCCCTCAAAAAAATTTTTATAGATGTTTTGAATGCAACAATTCGAAAGTATTTGGTGCTGAAAGTAAAACAAGCTGCTGGTTCCAACACTACTGTGTTGGAAAGCTCGCCTTTGGGAAACTATTAACAACTATTAATGCTTTTTTCTAAAATTGTATACGTATTAAATGAATCTTTACCCAATTATCAGAGGTTACATGCCGATGCAAAATGTTATGACGTAATTTCATAAGTCAAATTTTTCACATTTCAATAAATAAAGAGAAATAAAGAGAGAGAAATGGAATTATCTTTTATGAATGTGATTTTGCGGCAAATGTTGCAATGGCTATTTTTGCCATGGCATTTTTGTTTCTGGCTTTCATCGTTGATAAGCTTTTTCTTAACTTGTCAACAATGTAATGAAACCATATGATTTAATTTTAATTTTTTTTTTTTTTTTAAATCAAGTCGCCAACTTGAATTAAGGTTCTACTTTGTTAAGCTGGCAGTCTGAAATTCTGAATTTTTATCGGCACAGAGTTCAAAGAAACTATAATTGAGCACGGTTCGGAGGAACGTTTCTGCCATAATTCTTACACAATACTTATGGTATACACTAAGAGCGGAAAAGGAACTCACTTGAATTTTAGCGTGGAGCTCGAAAGACCACTTCAAGTCTTTGTATGCGAGTGGCTCAATGGAGCACATCACGCCTTTGTATGTATGCGGTGGCTCAATGGAGCACCTCGCGCACTATAAATAGCACGGAGCTCGAAAGAGCACTTCATGCATCTGTATTTTAAGGTTAAAACGAACTCTAAGGAAACTCAATGCGAGGCTCAAACGAACTCTCAAGCATTCTTAATGCGAGGCTCAAACGAACTCCCAAGCATTCTTAATGCGAGGGGCTCAAACGAATCCTAAAGCATTCTTAATATGAGGTTTAAACAAACTCTGAAAGGATCCCAATGCGAGTCTCAACCGAGCTCTCAAGCATGCAATTATTTTGAGGTTAATTAACCTTCTATGGTACCAATAACGGCAATCTTAAGGATTATCCATTAATTATGCGCAAATCTCAATCTTAGTCTTAGTAACTTAAAATTAATTGAACAAATTATTAAATCACGTCGAGGTCACCATGTTTTTTATTTTAAGAAATAATAACAATTGCAAGTACAACTGCACACAAAAACTGCATTGAAAAGATAAGAGGATGATAACATACAATTAGGTAATTTGCTATAAAACCATAGCAACATGCTATGATATACTCGGCCACTGGAAAGTGCTGCTCTCTAGTGTAGCAAACGAGGAACAATTAATCCTCAGTTGAATGAGGGAACGGAAATGTTCGACGGAGGAAAACTGTAACCCGCGAAAATTCAACTTTTAGACCTTGAAATCAATGGGATTTTGGCCGTTCCTCCGACGGCAACGAGAACCATCCATTTGTCGCCACGGACACTACCAATGCTAAAAGAAATCGATCGCAAAGAGCTCTCCCGAGTGGGCGAGCTCAAAAAAAGCGTAATTATTCTGCAGAAATTGATGGAAAATCTCCATCATAAGAGCTTCAAAATGCGTCCAAATATAGATTTAAAATTTCAAAAATTTCCCGGGGGAGGCCCCCCGGACCCCCCTCTGTGCTAGGGGCCCGGGCCAGAAATCTGGTACCAGGGCCCGAGATGGGATGTGGCGGGCCTGTACATAAGTGTGTTAAAAAAGTAACTCGTCAATCACCGCGACGTACCCACTACAGAGTTAAAAATTCTATGAAATTCTTTCAATTGCAAGTACCCACTGAACTTCATACGAATCATATGCTTTGTTTTGGTCAAATCTAATCACAAAAGCCGACGTCGCACAATGGATCGAGTCAATGAGAGAGGTCGAATAAATTTCGAAAACTTTAAAAGCTTGTAGCTCTGTTCATACGGTCTTAAAAATGGTTCCATTGGTCTCCTCGTAAAGTTTTCTTTCAGTAACACCCCTTAAAATTTGAACTTTGACGAAATAAACGTCAACCTTTGCAGGCTTAGTTAAAAATCTCATATCCGACCGCTCTGATTGGCTCGATCCACCGTGCGTCGCCTGTCAAGAAACCCTTCATAAGATTTTATGAAACCTAATAATCATGATCTTTAATAATAATCAGTCGCGACTGTATCGTAAGTTCTAATTAGCAGGAGTTTAAATTGAATTAATAGTGTTACGTGTTCGCACAACTCGAAATCGCCCATTCGTTTACGTGCATGTTGAATGGGTATAGGGCGAGTATTTTGTATTATTCAAATTCTCGGATCTGTTGCCTTCCCTCCGCGTGGCTGTATGTTTTTAAACTCCGTTGATTATCGTCATTTGTCCGCTCTTTATTTGGAGTAGGCTATCATTAAATTCATAACGCATGCAATTACGTCCTCCCACCGGCGAAAGTGACGATGTCTTGGAAGTTCTCCTTTTTCCTTTTTCTAAACACAAAAAGGATTGAGTTTAACAAAAGGGAACCAAATTTTGGAAAGCATTGGGTCAATTCGTCATAGTTTTTTTTTTTTTTTTTTTTTTTTTTTTTTTTTTTTTTTTTTTTTTGGGGGGGGGGGGGGAAATGTAGTTAGGCTATGTGGAATGGACGTATTTCTATCAAACGGAATTGTGTGCATCAGGACATGAGCCCTGAGAACCAGAAGAATATATGCATAACAGGGCTCACGTCTCAATGCACATAGTTCCGTTTGATAGAAATACATCCATTTCACATAGCCTAACTACATTTTTTCAAAAAAAAAAAAAAAAAAAAAAAAAAAAAAAATCTTGGTTCTTTTCTATTAAACTCGATCGAAGGAATATGCTGAAATTGCGTTTCCGATTCTCTAATTTGCAGACATTTTGAGGAGGCGAAAAAAAAGTGATCATATTGGTGGGCGTTAATTAAGAAACAGTTCAGTAACGCCCAGCTCCGGGAATTTTCAGATTTTGTTTCTGCAGACAAAAAGGAAAAATAAGTGGATTCCCTTTGGGGCCTGCCCCCACCCCCCCTCAACAAAAAAGATCGAATCACATAGGAAGTTAAAATTGGTGGATTTGGTTTGGCTTAAAAACTATTCATCTCCTGAGTTCTCAATCGCCCATAGATCCAAAACAGATGATAAGTGAACATTTTGGTATCTTTGTCTACAGTTTTTTATGGTAGATTTACAATATGTACTCTAAACATTTTCGAATCATGAAAATCCATTACCTCCAATCATTTCTTCTTCATTGATTTGCATTTTTCTGTCCTCAAAGGTTGGATCGTTTTCGAATTGAACGATTCAAATTAAGTTGGACGTTGAATCACTCCATCATTAATAAAAAAGGCTTAAATTAATAAATATGCAGAATCACAAAATATTGAGCGTGCCTAATTTTGAAAAAATTCTTTGATTAGTAAAAGCTTGAGCTTCCATTTGCTACTCCTGTAACCAAACTGCGCTGCCGTGTTAAGAAGAACTTCGTATGAACATTCGAGAGTTGCCAAATTTCCTTCGATAAAATGTTTATTTTTCAGGAAAATTAGCAATATTTTTCCTTGAAACTTTCAGACGTTTCAGATCCAATTACAAACAAAATTATCTGAGGAATTGGTGGGCAAATATTAAAAAAATGTCCTGAAAAGTAGTGGTTTGCCAGGGGAAATTTGGCAACGCCTGAAGGCTCATACGGTGTTTTTCTTTAGCACGGCAGTGCTACCAATCCCGCATCATCTATGTTGAATGAGTACATACAGAAGAGCTGCTGTCGAGGCACCTAACGACTCGTGGCATATAGCCTATTCTCCTGTTCGTTATATTTGCCGGAAATCGTAAGAAATGAAATGACTCAATTGAATTATGAAGCCTTGGCCTGGCATATATAATTAGTTCGACTTGAAGGCGGACGCTTCTTCCAGTTGTCAGGAGCCAGTCACCTGGCCGATCTACGTAACTTGAATTTTAGCGGCTCTGGTGCTTGCACTAGAGCTGCTATTCCGGATGGTCCCAGCTGGGGAGTATCAATGCAGCATGTTACATTGTAGAGACCGCGCGTTGGTTGATGGGAATCGGCGCCATTTTCGGCTATGTTCCTTGTCATGACTTTATTTTATTGCATACTGTTTTATTGTTAGTCAATGCTATGTTGTGTATTGTATTTTTGGA